GTACATCAAAAATTGCTGCCAATATACTCTCAACAATATACAGCTCAGACTGTACAGGATGTAAACTTGGTATCAACGTCTCATACTTAACGGTTAGTCGAACTCTCTGTCGGAAGCTAAGACAAGACCGCGTCGGACCATCGGCTTGCAAGTACGACTTCTACAATACCTAGCGAAGAGCGTTCGATGATACGTTGCTCATGCATATGGCGCGTGGTGACTATATCGTGTATTACGAGGAACGAACTACAAACTGTTCAGCAAGCGTAAAAGGGCGTGCCAACGTGGGCAAACGTGTTGTCGCCGTGCTCCGACCGTCAGATGGAGCGAATCTTCAGTTGCAGTGCGCCATGTCGACAACCGACGACCTTATCCTACACTGCATGCAACAGGGAAGCGAATGATACAGAACGTAGATTTTGAGGAAGACATCTACCTTGCCGTCAAAGCGCTGCCATCGTTCCAAGCCGAATTAAGTTGCCAGCTCGTGGTCATTGTCCTAGACAACGTGCCTGCCCACAACTAAACCGAGACCTGCAAGCCCGGGCACCACGACTGTGCCTTACTTCGCCTTGGTTCGTATTCGCCAATGTGCAATCCTATTGAGGGTTGCTTCAGCGGTGCTCAAGACGATTCTCGCCTCAAGACGACCGGGGATGCTTTCCGCTGGTGTAAATGGTACGTTGACGTCTGTACGAATAGTCCTCTTGGAACGTGCCGCTTTGGAGTTCTTGCCCTATATAGCTGCCGTCTTGACGACAAGATGTCGTTGCACTGTATTTGTCCGCCAACGCAGCTCGTCGACTGGAGAATACTACCTCTGTCCATGAAAACGTGCCCCCAAGTCGAAATCTGAGTTCCGAAAATACTTGCCCCAAGTGTACCACTCTCTCTACAGCAAATTCACAATACAAAGATCAAGTGTTTATTAGAGGGATATAATGTTGGCCAAGTCGGCATCGATGTCGTCGTCCAATTCCTCATCGACAGCCAACTTTTCCATCTGAGAGCTAAACTCGTACAATTAAATGGCCTTGGAAATTTCCAGTGCCAACTCTTCCACTCTTTCGTCCATGTCAGTCGCACACAGCAGGTTAAAACCATCATTGATGGTGTCAGAATCAACATCAACACCGTCAGGCAACATACCTTTCGCTGCAAGCTTCGCTTTCTTCATGTGAGGCACCTTGTAGCTGTTGTTGCCTGCCACCCGAATGACTTCCTTCATGCAACACTGCAACGTCAGGAAGTTGGCATTAAGTGTCATCATGTCCACCTCACGCCACGCTTGCAGGGTACCGGCAACGATGTCGTCGATGTATCGTGGGTACTTCTGTTCCTGCAGCGTCTGAATCGACCGAAAAAAGCCGAGGTCGAGCACGTTCAGGTCTGGTGAGTTCGGCGGCTGGTACACCATTGCCCACCCGTCGCTTTGGCACGCAGCAACGATTCTTGGGTCCATGGGCGGGACATGCGGTTTTGCGTTGTCCTGCTGGATGCGGACATGCTATGTGTCGCCAGCCGGCCACTTGGCCTTGATGGCAGGGATGACGTTGTCGATCAGCATAGCGCGTCACGCTCACAGGCACGGTCACAAGTGTTCCGGCGGGACGGTTCTTGCTTGTACGGGCGGCAGGGACCTTCTCCGTAAAAAGCCAGGTGCCGATCTTCCCGTCGAACCACTCGGACCGATCATTGTCCCATCGAGGGCGCGCAACCGCAGAGAGGAACATAACCTTCGTAATGAATTTCTTGGACTTGCATGTTCGGTGAGGGGGCTCTTCGTCGGGAGCGAGGTAGTACGACTTGCTGACACAAGTGGCAAAGAACCACTTCTCGTCCACGTGGACAACGTACATCATGTCGGCGAAAGCGTAGTCGTCGGGCGTGACTGCGTGAACGCGGTCCATGGCCCACTTGAGGCGCACTGCTGGTTCGCGTCGGTGAGCTGTGGCTTGATCGTACTGGTGTACTTGACGAAGATTCCGCGCCGGTAGTAGTCGTGGAGGGTGAACCGGGGCATACCCATTGCAGCAGCGATGGGCCGGAACGTTTTTCGGCGGGCCTTGGGTACCAGCTTGAGTCGTTGAGCGACAGATTCGTGTTTGAGGTTGCGACCCGAGTGGCCCTTTTTCCGCGAGCTTATGTCCTGGCATGGACGGTAGAGGTTGGTGATGTCGACGGACGCTCGGTGCCACAGGCGACGTACAGTGCTTCTGTCGACGTTGAACGTCATGGCTACATCGGCAAGGGCTCCACGTGGCAGAGCCTTATGGTCTACCATGCGGGCCAAGCGTTGGTGGAGTATACCATTGCGGTCAGCGTCGGTGAGGTCCTTTCTTTTGGCGCGCATTGGAATTTGACACACAGATTAGGCGGTACGTGTCCGGATAAGCGGTAACCTGATTTCCGGGTACCGTCCGTACAGGTTTGTTGTCTATGTTATCTTGTTTAAAGTATTAGGTCTTCGTTTGGTTGGCATGTTTGTGATTGGGTGTATTTTGCCACGAATCCATATCATTGGTGTTCGTCGCTTCGAGCCAATCACAGGTGTGCTTTCAGAATACAATAATTCGACCAGCTTCAAGTTCATTTCTGAAATATACTGTTCGGGGCATGTTTTCACAGACAGAGGTATGCTTTATGGAAAATATCCTTTGTCAATACAGTTTCGATCGAATTCGAATTTATAGATTGGTCACATGGATTTCAAATTATACCACTATGCAAGAAAATGATTCCAGACATACGTGAGGTTCGAAAAAACTGTACAGGGAATGACGGAACTCCTTCCCCCGTGGAACTCGACCATACTTCTGGAATATTAATATAATCGACGTCCAAAATCATCCTCTGGGAATTTAGAATATTTTTGACCAATCGATGACAATAGTATCTACGTCCAAGCACATGATACAACTTGATCTTGCTGTCGTCTATCAAAACTATACACGTGTTACTG